ATGCCTGTTGTCTTATGACAGTTGCATTACATGATTGATATATTACATAATTACATACATTTAAAATGCTTACCATTTACATAAAAATTAATAATTAGTTAGAGCAAACCTTTTTTACGTTTTTGCAAAACTTGAACTCCATCCACCATATAATTTTTTTGTATACAAGCAAGAAAGTGATGAAAGTATGCCTATTTGACATTTTAAATACTAATGAGGTTATATTGCTGCTTACTTCGCTTATGACATGTATGTGTGTTGGAATATATGTTCAATGCAACGACAAAGACACATCTATAGGCATACTCCCCTTGCCACTTCCCCCCGCAAATGATCTAACGAACCTCCTTAATCATTAGACATGTTTAATTGGTTTTTTGTTTTTGACTTCGTAATTTATATTTAATCGTTTTACTTATTATAATTTATTTTGTGGTTTTACTAGCTGAAGATGACTTTTCTGTAGTGCGAAACATTCTAGGCTTTTTACGTAATGATGTTTTAATTTTTGATATCCAATTTATCGTGTGCTCGTTTCTTGGCCTTTTTATTCTTATATTTTTCTGGTAGGAGAAGTAGGTTTATCCACACAAAAAAGTACATGACATAATCGGTTGGTACGTACATTTTAATGTCTTACGCATTAATTTGCTCATATTACATTTTCTTATTGTAATTTAAGTTCTTATTACGGTAGACCGTGAATTTAGAAATACCAGAGCTTTTCTACTCATGCGAATATGATACGCGTATGATACGAGGCTAAATGCGCATGTATCGATTTTTCTGACTTTTTAAGTACATTTACGGAGAAGTTGCGTTATAAAGTCCAGACATGTACGCTGAAAGTAGCATAAGGTCATATAATTATAAATCCAGGCATATTTTATCTTTTATCTATACGTTCTTTTACGTATTTATGATTATGTAGATTGATTAATATCAATTGAGCTTTATGTACGCTTTTCTTTCGTAAGACTTTATCAAGCATTATTCAGCTTAAAAGAATAATTGTCATAATTTTTTTTTTATATTTTGTTATATCCACTGTCTTGGACGTGAATAAATGAAATAAAAAGGAATATTAATTTTGAAGCAGTCATATTTTGTTATAAATTTTTAGATAAATGACATAAATGCATACTCTAAATTTTTTAGAGATTTAAAAAAATATATGCATTAAAATATATGTTGAAAATACAAGAGGATTTTTTGGTGATATTTTCTCATAGTTACGTTTTTTTCAAATATAAAATAAAATAAAATTGACTAAAAAGTGATTGGTTTGTATATAGATTTTGTAAAGAAATGTTTGTTTTTACGCGTACCTAAAAATGATTTTAAATTATTGGCAGATGTTTTGTTGTAACAATTTGTGAATTGTCTTTTCGCAATACATGTTCTGTGATATTGAATATGTGTGTGTGCATGCGCGCGCGCGCGCGCGCGTG